TGGACGCAATGTAATGGTCTAGATGGATCTTTGATCTGCTCCAGCTAAGTCTAGAGCCAGAACAAAATTGGGCAGGCGAAAATTGAATCAAAGGCAGAATCTGGTGACACCAGCAATCCTGGCCAGCTGCTGTGCTTGAAGTGGCTTATCAGGGTTCATCAGTATCCTATAGGTGCTGATGCCTCTTGGGCTCTTCCTCCCCTTTTTCCTGGTCATGGGCTTATGTGACTAGCATAACACAAAGCCATGGTTTAATAACCTTAATAAACCATGGTTTAATAAAGGTAAAAGGTAAAGGGACCCCTGACCATTAGGCCCAATCGTGACTGACTCTAGGGTTGCTTTATTGGCCGAGGGAGCTGGCGTACAGCTTCCGGGTCATGTGGCCAGCATGAGTAAGCCACTTCTGGTGAACCAGAGCAGCGCACGGAAATGCCGTTTACCTTCCCGCCGGAGCGGTACCCATTTATCTACTTGCACTTTGACGTGTTTTCGAACTGCTAGGTTGGCAGGAGCTGGGACCGAGCAACGGGAGCTCACCCCATCGCGGGGATTCGAACCGCCAACCTTCTGATTGGCAAGTCCTAGGCTCTGTGGTTTAACCCACAGCGCCACCTGCGTCCCATACCGTGCACTAAAAGGGATCACTGGGTGTATTTCCTCTCAAGACACGTATAACTTCTTCCTTTTAGTTACCAGGATGGTTTGATCTTTTCTCCTCCTTCAGTTTTAGTGTTATGGTTTTTGTTGCCCCCCCCCCTGTTTTTAATGTTTCCCTTTCCAGCCTGTCATGAAACTGAGATTCACTAAGAGCAAGGTTTCTGCCTTCTTCTGGGATTTCACATCTTCCCCTAACTTCAAATGCTATAAACAGAGTCATTCTCTGGAGCCAAACTTAGTTTAGCATTAAAACAGTGCCGGAGACTCCTTAATGTGCTTTGGGCAGAGAGCTGCCGCACACTTGGGCTGCAGTGTACATCGGATCTACTTTTTTTGAGTTTTGTCCAGAGGGACCTTGGGAAGGAATGCGAGTAAAATAGTAAACAAAGTGGCAGCAGAGCATGGAGTACATTTTTGTGGCCTATAAACTGAGGGGGAAATGAAAAGGGTTAATGGGACACAGCTCTGGAGTATCCTTTCCAAGATTGAAATAAAGAGTTGTCTTCAATGTAGCATGAAAGGGAACATCCCATCAGTGCAAGAATGGAACATTCTCCCACTCTCCTCTGCCTGTGCACACCTGATATCTGTTCTGGGTTCCCTCCAACCCTCTAGAGCAGTTTGGGGGATGTTGTGGTGGGGAGAAGAGGAGAGAAATCCCATTGCACTCGCACTAATCCTTGTACTCAAGCAAGAATTCAGTTGAATACCACCCACAGTGTCCTAATGGGCTAGCTAGCCTCTGTATAAGGAAATGGGCTCTTCATTCCGAAAAGGAGAACATTGGGTGTGTAGAAAACCAGCCAATGCCCTAGATTCTCTTCCCAATGTTTCGCCAGCTCAGCCTTTGCCAGCTCAGTGGGCACCAGATCTTGGACGGCAGTTCCCATCATCCCCAGCCAGCATGCACACTGATGGGAACTGTAGTGCAGCAACATCTGGAGAACACCAGGCTGGTGAAGGCTGCCTGCACTCCATCTTGCTTCTCTCCCCCTGCCATTTGCCGGACAATGGCTCCCCAGTTGCAGGGAACTCCCCCTCCATTCTACTTTCTGCAGAATCACTGAGTAGAGAAGGACATCTCATCTGGACATGCAGCTGGGCTCCTAAACCAGTCAATGTGGGAGTTTTCCCCATATTTCTCAATGATGTTAGACTATAGTTAACTTAGGGTTAGGTCCAACGGACAGCAGTCAAGCCGGCAACCTTGGAGTCATCGGCACCATGCTCTAACCCAGTGTTTCCCAACCTTTTTTGGGCAAAGGCACACTTGTTTCATGAAAAAAATCTCGAGGCACACCACCATGCCAGATGGGGGAAAGGTCACTTTTTACTTATGTAAAAAAAAATAAAAAAATAGTAACAGCATAGAAGGTAATGGTTATCTCTTGATGTATGATGGGAGGGCATTCCACAGGGCGGGCGCCACTACCGAGAAGGCCCTCTGCCTGGTTCCCTGTAACCTCACTTTTCACAGTGAGGGAATTGCCAGAAGGCCCTTGGCACTGGATCTCAGTGTCTGGGCTGAACGATGGTGGCGGAGACGCTACTTCAGGTATACTGGACCGAAACCGCTTAGGGCTTTAAAGGTCAGCACCAACACTTTGAATTGTGCTCGGAAAGGTACTGGGAGCCAATGTAGGTCTTTCAAGACTGTCGTTACGTGGTCTCGGCGGCAGGTAGCAGCGCTCACAGCTTACAGACTGCACCGTGTAACAGGTGTCTGGCCCAGCAGCCTAAGGCGGACAAGCCACTGAAACAGGCATTCAGAATCCATTCATTTCATAAAACCTGCTCAATCTCTGTGTTTGTGTATGTGTGTGTTTCTGTTTTGCCCAAGGGTCTGGGGATGGGGAGAGAGCTCTTTAGCATGATGCTTTTAAAAACAATTAAATTATCAACAAACAAACCTGATGATACGAATAGCAACGTCAGGTGCTACCGGGGGGGGGGAGGGGGCCTAAAGGTAAAGGTAAAGGTACCCCTGCCCGTACGGGCCAGTCTTGACAGACTCTAGGGTTGTGCGCCCATCTCACTCAAGAGGCCGGGGGCCAGCGCTGTCCGAAGACACTTCCGGGTCACGTGGCCAGCGTGACATCGCTGCTCTGGCGAGCCAGAGCCGCACACAGAAACGCCGTTTACCTTCCCGCTAGAAAGCGGTCCCTATTTATCTACTTGCACCCGGGGGTGTTTTCGAACTGCTAGGTTGGCAGGCGCTGGGACCGAGCAACGGGAGCACACCCCGCCGCGGGGATTCGAACCGCCGACCTTTCGATCGGCAAGCCCTAGGCGCTGAGGCTTTTACCCACAGCGCCACCCGCGTCCCTAGAAGGGGGCCTACTCGGAAGTAAATACTGCGTCCAGGCGCAATTAGCGCTGATTTAAGGTGCACCAAGACTGCCTAAAAACCTCACCAAAGATATGCAACAAAGCGCTTCGTTGCAGAGGGGAGAGTTTGTGCACCGTGGAGGCTGGAGGGCTTCTTCTACATGCGGGGGTTGGGGGTCGAGGAAAATGTGCTCCGTGGGGGGGCGGGGAAGGCAAGAAAGGAGCTGAGCTCTAACTATAGGCTCCCACGCTTGAGCACGCCCGACTCGGTGGGGCGGACCACCCTCTCTCCTGGAGGAGGAGGAGGAAGAGGAGGAGGAGATTCCCATCCACGGCGTGGCCTCCCGCGCTCCTGAACGGGAAATCTCTGCAGCCCAAGACTCTCTGCGAGGCAGCTCCTCCCTTCCTGCCTTGAGCCACCGCAGCCGCGCCCCCCTCCCCAGTTATCTGCTGCCTGCCAAGCCCCGCCCCTCTTCATTGTCCTCCCCTTCTGTTTATTCCCTTCTCCATCCCTCGCTTTTTTCCCTCTCTTTCCTTTTTTTAAAAAAAAATATTCTCTCTATCCCCTCTCTTTTTTACCACCCTTTCTTTTTTGCTCTTCTCCCCCCCCCCCCCCTACCCACGCCCCCTGGGTTACAAGGATTTTGAGCCAAGGGGTCATGGAGGTGGAGCTCGTCGGAGAGATATAGCCCGACTCGCCCGCCTCCCTCCCACGGCACACTAGGCAACGTCCGGCGGCACACTAGTGTGCCACGGAACACCGGTTGGGAAACACTGCTCTAGAGCTCCTGCAGTGGTCTCCAACCCTATGAACAGTTTTCAGGAGGTGTAGGGGTTGTCGGAGAAAAGGACAAATAAACTAAAATCACTTCTTCCTTCCAGTGCCAGTGAAACTCTGCTAAGCAAAATTCTGGATCCAACCCAGTTCTGCTATGTATTTGTTTTTTGGCTGTAGCCTGTCTCAAGAAGACTTAAAATAACATTTCCTTATTTCCCCTCTTTTAAAGTTATCTTCTTCTTCTTTGGTGATCACAAAGACCAGTGCATTTGCTATGTGCTTTGAAACTATTGTATACCTTTTAAGCAATTCTATAGGCACCAAAGTGGAAGCTGTTTAATCTACTTTCATAATAATGAGTTCTTAAATACTTCCAAGAACCAGCATATTGTGTAAAATTACTATAGCTCACCTGTTTAGAACAGTAAACTATGCATTCATTAGCAGGGCAAAACAGCATTCCTGCAGCTTAATCTTATGGCTAATTTGAAAGACCAGTCTTGCACTTTGACGTTTAAAATTATAAATATTGTACGAAGAAAAGAGACTGTAATTAAGCTATTCATTGCTACAAAAAAGATCTGTTATTCAAAAGCCTGCCAGACATTTACTGGCTCAGCATGTCAGTGTAAGAGAAGTAAAAGAGCCTTGCAAATGCTAATGAATACCCTGGCTTCAGAAGAGAAAAAATACTTTGGTTTCAATCCATTTTGTCAGTTACTGCTTTGCACATTAGAGCAGTGACAGCATTGCAGAAAAATGTAAGGAGCTGGCAAGTGGGAAGACTAGGAACTATGATGTCAACCACCAAAATGTCCATCACATTTCTGAGCAGCAGAGGCACTTAACAGTCATCATTCAGTTCAGGAATTAAAAATTGAGGCACACTGGTCTGTTGGAAACAAATGCTAGTTTAGCTTGGCAACACGTACAAGTCAAATTAGTCTAGCACCTTGACAGTTACACCAATAAAAAGTAAAATATAAATTTAAAAATAGTCTCCCACCACGTTTGTGGTCTGTTGCTCTCCCATATGTTCTATTTACAGCCAAAACTAGTCCATGCAAAATCTGAAACAAATTTATTTGAAGTGGATTATTTTTTTTAAAAAAGACCTGTACAGATGTTTGTAATTTAAGCAGTTTGTAGACTAGATATTCAAAGGCATATGCATAGCGTTACCTTCATGGCATGAATTTCTTCCAGTAACCTCTCTGCACGTTTATGGTTTTTCAATACTGCATCTTCCGTGCCCCTGAAAGAGGAAGGTATTTAAATAATATTGCAATACTACATATGTTATGTTCCATTATTATTCACTGTAAAATAATTCATGGTAATAGTTACCAAGGCCTAGTGCAGTTCTTTTTTTCCCCTTTTCTTTTTTGCAATCTCTTATCCACGGTTAGGAAATGCAAAAGTTGCACTGGGAGCATAGTGGAATGGTTTGCACATCATATGAGTGCAGAATGGCAGCTAGTCCAAGGTCTGACTTAGCTTGGCTACAGGACAGTGGTGTAGCATGGGCTGCTGGCACCCGGGGTGTGTGTGTGTGTGTGAGAGAGAGGGGCAGCCATACCAGCCCAAGCCCTCACCACCAACTGAGCCACGGCGGTCTGAGTTGGCAGCAAGTGAGGTGAAGTGAGGGGAGGAGAGGAAGAAAGAGGTTCAAAGCTGCCATTTGAGGACAGACCTGAGGGCTGAGGTGCCCTGTTGGCAAAGGAGGAGACGGCTCTCTTCTCGGTGTTGGTGCCCTCCCCCTTCCTCCCTCTTGGCCGGCTCAGGGTTGGGGCACACACTGGTGGCCCTTCACCAGCCATGAGGAGGAGGAGGAGGAGCAGGAGGCGCTGCTGTCCCAGCCCGCAAGGCCTGGACCAGGTGCAGCTTGGCTTGCCTTCTCACTGCTCCGAACCTGATGGGGACCCCTGGCTGCACCCCCTTGTCATGCCCCTTCAAAAATCTGTGCCCAGGGCCACGGCTGCCCTGGCCCTCCCCACACTATGCCCCTGGTTAAGGAGGAGATTACTTAACCACGATTCCAGGCTTCGACAGTGCATTGGCTTAGCTACCAAACTAACCCGGAAATTCTAAAGCACTTTATAGAAAATGAAAGAATGTGACCTTCACTACTAATCAGGAGTCTTGGGACCACTGGAGAGGCTGCAGGTAGAAATATGTCATCAAGAGGGATATTTTTGGCCAAAGAGGGGCAGGGCAGGACGCTTGCTTCCCACTTTACTGCTAGAAAGAGCCCTTAGCCCCTACTACCAGTTGCCCTGGGACTGCAGAAAACCATGAAAAGAATAACTGTTAAGCTTACTTTTTTGCCTTCAGTTTTGCAATATGTCTAGTTAGCTTGCGAATTGTCAGCACTCTGACCTTCCTCACTTCTTTTCTCATCTTCACAACCTGTTTTTTGGGGGAAAGAAAATGCGTTGTAAAAAACAACAACCATCAATAGCATATTTTGCATAAACACTCAAAGTTTACAAACAGCATTGAGCATAGTTAGCTCCCTTGCTTAACAAAAGACTGAATTCAGTTTTTCTGTTAAAAGTCAAAACTGCTTCCAAAAACAGCCAGCCAGTTGAGGAACAAACCAAGTCTCAAAACATGTCTGAGTTCTGAAAAGAAACAAGCCATGAAATAGCCAGGACATTCCTATGCAGTCATGTTTAATTTTCTTAGACCTAGGCTTGGCTATAGGTGAAGACAGCTTATTTGTGTTACATGTTCATTTATGTACTCACACTACCACAAAACACCTGTACTTTCTTCTAAGCCTTCTACAGAACAAGACTTCCTCCAGTTAACCACATGAATGTTTTAATTTAAGATGATGCTAATGCAAACCTGACTCATTCTTCGGTAAAACACTCTTTCAAATTCAATTTCACAGAGAAATAGACTGTTTTCTGGTGCAGTGAATGGACTAAATGGGCACTGACATTCAAGAAGACCCAAATTTTATCTTAGATCAAACATTTCTAGGCAACCCTATAAATTCCTACAGCACTTCCATGATGTCCTACAACATGAGGTCAGCATGCAATAAATATGTAAAAAAAAAAAAAAAAAAAGAAGCACAAAGAAAGGGTTAACGCCTTAAAAAAAGCAACCCATATAAATAAGACAGAAATCACCACACCCCAAAGTTAAAAATAGAATGCTAGCCTACCCAAGTTATTTAAAGTATGTTTAATAACCAAAAATAGCAACACTAGCCTCTCTTACAATGGTGCCATAGTTGAGGTCATGTCAATTGCTTTGAGAACCTGAAATGTGGTAGTCGTACCTTGGATCTTGAATGGCTTTAGTTGCTTAACATTTCGGCTCCCAAACAATCGAAAGCCGGAAGTGAGTGTTCCAGTTTTTGAACTTCTTTGGAAGCCGAACGTCCGGCGCAGTTTCCGATTGGCTGCAGGAAGCTCCTGCAGCCAATCAGAAGCTGAGCCTTGGTTACTGAATGTTTTGGAAGTCAAACGGACTTCTGGAACGGATTCTGTTTGGCTTTCAAGGTACGACTGTAAATGAACACTAAATTCTAACCAGAGAACACCACCAGATCTAGACTTTGTTCTCACTGATGGATGAACGGAGGTGACCTGCCAATTTCTCCTATAGCGCCTCACACCCTCGAGGTAAGGAGCATTGGTAAATACTGCCTCTCCCTCTCCTTCCATTAATAGGAGCCCTCTGCTGGATCAAAAGTACACAGATGGAAGCTCTTCCATTCACAAAAACGCAAGTTTGGATCCAACTCAGTGAAAAGCTGCTATGTGGCAATGTGCGAATGCGTGTGTGTATCTAATTTAATTCCACCATGATCAAAGCCGATTTGGATATAACGGTGTTTTTTGAAGCCTACCTCAAAGACTCAACGCTAGAAAGGAACTTGGGAACGCATTTTAAAGTAGCCCTTTCAGCTTACTCCGTATTTCTATTTACTTGCCTGGAGAGCTGCTGGTGCCAATTCTGTAGGGAGAAGCAGAACAAGGAGCTCATTTCTATCTTTCTCCGGGAAGATAGGGAAGGCCTCTGTGGGAAGCAAGTGGCTTTCAGAAAACTGGTGCATCAGTTAACTGATAGTCAAATAATGTCAAACGACTTCCCATTTATTATATGACCACAATGAAATATCCAATGAAGTAAAAAATGCCACTTTGAAAGTGGCACCTGTTTTTAATAGAGTTATAGGGTCATTTGTTAACAAGGACAGAAGTGAGGGATTTACACTACAACGGTCTGAGGGGTGGGGAGCTAGTAGTACAACAAAGTTTCCCGCACTACAGTATCAGCTACAAATGCAAGCAAGAGGTCAGGAGGGTGGCAACACAAGAACAGGCCTTCTCTGCAGTGGCTCCCCGTCTGTGGAATGCTCTCCCCAGGGAAGTTTGCCTGGCCCTTTCATTATACACATTTAGGTGCCAGGCAAAAATATTCCTTTTTAACCGGGCCTTGGCTTACTTTGAGTGACATCTTACGCCCTTTTAAAATGTGGTTTTGTGTGTGTTGCGGGGTTACTGGGTTGTTGTTTTTATTTTTATTATACATTTTGTGGTTTTATATTCTGATTTTTTCCTGTGAACCGCCCTGAGACCTCCGGGTGTAGGAGGCCCAGTTGGTAGTGCTACCTGTAGCTGCTGCCCAGTTGGCATTGACCAGGGACTGGGTTAGGGGCTGCTTCCATTTGTGGAATGCCCTCCCTGGCGAGCTGCTTCTGCCTCCCTCATTGCTGACTTTCAGGAGAAAAAAAAAAATCTATTTCTAGCCAGGTATTGGATGAGATACTACTGACCATGGCAACCTTGAAATTAGCAACTATGAAGATACGTGATGGCTCTAAAATGTTTTTAGATGCTCTACATTTTTTAAAATAGCTTTTATTTTAAATTGTATTGCTTTCAAATGTTTTTAGATGCTCTAAATGTTTTTATTTTTATTTTAAATTGCATTGCCTTAAATTGTATTGCTTGCTGTCCTTGGAAGAGCAGGCTAGAAATTTAATAAAAAACAAGGAAAATGTCACTATTTCCTACCCTAAGACCTGAGAAAATATTTATTAATATTACTTGCTATGGGAGGGGTAGTTTATTATTCAAATTCCGACTCTGTAGACACTTCCTATTTGTTTGGTAGTGGGAAGTATAAGTGTAACAGCCAATTCCAAACCATCAGCCTGACCTCTTATTTAAGGTTGGGGGGAAAAGGAGTCAAGATAATTTGCAAGGCTTGTTTTCTTTTTCCTTGTGACAGTCTCCAAAAAGACAGCCTCCCTCTGGGAAAATGCACCCCATGTGGAACAAATATTGATGTAAAATGATACTAAAACTAAAACCCTTTAAAAACAGTTTACTGCAAGGTAAAAGTGTTTGCATATCTGAAACCAACTGGGTCAGGAATTAGAAATTTGGCCAGAGTGACCATGTCATGCTACGGTTCCATCTTACTACCGTGCAAACAGGAAACACTGGCTTGCAAAAACACTTCTGCAGAGTCAAAATTTAAATAAACGATGCCTGTAATAGCAAGTGATTGTCCATAAATATTATCCCTGATAGTGTTTATAAGGAAAAAGGCTCAGCGCACACAACTTAAAATAAACTATGATGTAAAAAATAAAAACATTTTAATCGGAACTCGCTAGGCCACTCTTTTAAGTACGGATATGGAAATGGAGTTTATAAATAACAAGTACTCAAACTAAACGTGGGGTTCCCATCAGTTGTTTTTGGCCACCCTATATAAATGTTTCTCTGCCAAAACTTCAGGGCCAAACAAGGCCCATCTTCTATCCTGTACCTGCCCATCCAACCTGTTCCCACCAGATTTCCAACGTTCTCCTAAGGAATCGGGTGCTCAGACTTGTACATCTGACTTGTCACTACAACATTGCTCCCCAACAAGGGACTGTGCCTTGGATTTTGACATGTCTGCAGCTGTTAATACATTCTCCCTAGCAGTAATAGCTGCACCGGTTCCATTCTTGCCTGTCACAGATCTGGCAAACTGACGGCAAACCCACCTACTTCCATGGATACGTTAGCTGATATGGATGAAAAGTTCACAAGCTATAATAAAAAACAACAACAACCAGGCACAGGCAAGGCCCACAATTTAGAGAATCACAGCAGATCATTACGTACTCAAACATATATTTTTAACTTCCTATCCAATATTTAATTTATTCTTTCCAGGACTATGTGTGGAGACATAGTATATTTTTAGGAACCCATTTAACCAAAGGTCAACTAACTGCTGGCCATGAATGCAAGAAAGAGGACACACCCTGTGGCGTAAGAACATATGGACATGTTATCTTATACTGATTTGGCACATTAATCCAAATCAGTATAATGTGGAAAAATCAGCTGCTGTCCCATGTCTCCAGCAAGCTTATTTCAACCAATAAGCTTCCAACATCTACATTTTCCTTTTTAATCAGGGTATTAATCTTCTGAACACGTGTTTGGATCAGCAATGAGAGAAAAGGTAATAAAGTGACGCCCAATCCAGACAAGATGGAGGCAGAGTTCTCTGGAAGAGCAGTTTACTAAATTACTGGGATTTCCCACAGCCTGACAGAGCTATTAGATCTGACCTTGCATTTAGATGCCAAAGACTGTCTCAAAGAGCATTTCACTGGCTTCGGTGGGGTGTCAGCTGAAGCCACTTCTGGGTTAGCAGCATGAATACAGTGAAAATTGTATGAATACAATTGTATGATTCTGTAACTGCAAGACCTATTTGTGCTCACCAAACTGCAGGAAATAGCAGAAGGGAAAGGAGCCAAAGACTCTCCCTTTTCTATGCGAGAGGGCTTACCTACTGTTAACCGCGCATGTATATGCCTCCTGAATCATTGTGAGCTCAGGCACGTCAGCGATGCTGTGACAGCTGAACAGCTGGCCTTTTTGTGCAATACATAACCTTACATGCAATGACTTGGGTGTCTGGTGGCCGGACAGAAAATGTGAAGGGACTAGAATGTGTCTGGCAAACCAACCAGCTTCGGCAGATCCTACCATTGCCCTCAGAGTCCTGGAAATACTATATTGGGTGACTCCATTTTAGGGAAATGAGGGGAGATGGCCCAAAGTTGTTGAGCCTCTCCCCCCATGCAGCTGCGGGCAAGAAACACTCTTTAGATCGTTTCCCACGTGCAGCGGCATTGGGGCAAGTTGCGCTCCTGGGAGCACAACCTCCTCTGATGCCGCTGTGCGGGAAACGATCCAGGGAGCGCCCGCCACACGCAGCGGCATCGGGGGATTTGCGCTCTCACCAATGAGCTGGCTGGCGGCGCACCGCTTCTCCCCCTATGCCACTATCCGTGTATTGGACGACCCCCGTTTTTTGACATAATCTTTGAGTCAAAAAACCTTGTCCAAATACACGGAAAAATACGGTAATTGTCTATGGACTTCATTACTCATCTGCCTCTTCTCCCTGCTTAAAAGCTTGGCAGAGAGGCGGGGAAATTTACTGAAACAACATAGCAGCTCCCCTGAAGTCTTGGAGCTCTTGCCAGTAACCTTGGCCTTTGCTGTCGGACTGAATGTTTCGTTGCTGCTCTTCTGCCTTTGTAAGAGCGCTTTCCTAGCTACTGAGTCTGTATCACTAGGCTGATATAACAAGTGTTTACTTCTTCACTTACATGCAATTTCCTTTGTTGTGTGGTTTGGGGCAAAAGCCAGGACCCATTCATCCAAGGGGGTTGGTAAAGTGCAAAAGCAAATAGATATCAACTGTGCACATGGTGGGAACACATTGGCTTGGGATGTCTGCGCAGACCGCAGTGCTTTGAAATGTAAACATTAATATTTCTAATGTAAATGTTATTTTCTTAACAATGCAAGATATTGACCTGGGTATGGGGAAATATGTAGCAGATGGTTGGGAAATCCGTGCTTGGAACTGAAGATACTTAAAGATGGTTAACATAGCAATTTCAGAGAATCGCAGGGGGAGGGAAGAGGAAGGGCAGCAACATGCAAGGTAAGGTTTGAACTGGATTAGAGCCAGATGAGAATGAAGAAAAAGGAAATGGGGATTCATGTTCTAAACTTGGAAATTGGAATGGCAGCACTTCTGCGGTCCATGTGTCCACCATGCCTCCTCTAGCAAATTCACAAGTGTAGGTCATTCTTGCGTCATTTTCAAATATCACTTCATTTGACTCTCACGTAATTACTCAACTGTAATCATGTTTTCCCATGCAGCCAAAATAAACCCGACTTTGAGAAGGCTTACAGATTCAACTTACTTGAGAATGTTAATCAAATACACTTCCTTGCTTCCTTTCCTACACCCAATGGAATCCCAAGCATCTGATTATTCCACTCATGACAACTGTGGTGCAGCGACTTTAAGAAAGAAAAAAATCTAGCAGAGCCTAGTCAACTAACAAACTGCAGAGAAGTTTAAGGCATGCTTTAGAGATTGCGGAGGGTGATGGAATGCTAAGAGGGTGTATTAAAAGGACTCGCTGGATCACAGCCAAAGATTATACATTGTAAAGACCTTGTAAGGGGTGGCAAATATTGGAAAGATGTATTGCATTAGAATAAAATGTTATGCTTGGCTACTTTGGGGGCTTGCTTTAAATCTGAAGAGAGAGAAGGGGTCCAACCTAAGCGAACCCACAGCCAAGAATTTAAGAACATTCATAGGAAAGTCTGACCAAAAGGGGAAAGAGCTCTTGTGAACAGTACAAATCTATAGCTTAAAGCGTATCACCGTGGGTAGGTCAAAGTATGAAAACATTAACACCAACCTGTGTTAGGATGAGAGCTACATTCTGTTCTTGAACACCCAAGTAGTAAAAAAGAGTCAAGAAAAACTGACACTGAATTTATAGTAAAAGCCAAAGGACACTATTAAATCACTT